GCGTGGCTCTGTATGTACATGTAGCGTGGCTCTGTATGTACATGTAGTGTGTCTGTATGTACATGTAGTGTGTCTGTATTTACATGTAGTGTGTCTCTGTATGTACATGTAGTGTGTCTGTATTTACATGTAGTGTGTCTGTATGTGCATGTACTGTCTCTGTATGTACATGTAGTGTGTCGGTATGTGCATGTACTGTGTCTCTGTATGTACATGTAGTGTGTCTGTATGTACATGTAGTGTGTCTGTATGTACATGTTTACAGTACAGAGATAAATACCTGTCACTCTCCTCTTTTACCTAAAAGTTCAATTAACATGTTAAATAATTATTGCTGAAAAACCAACCTTTTCTCCCAAACGAACAAAAAATACTCTGTTCGAAGCTTTTCTGACCCTTTCCTAGTTTTCTTCTGCCCCCTCCAATCTCTCATGTTTCGTTCTTCTAGCAGCCTTCTCCAGCAGTGTCTTTCATCACTGTTGCCATAACAACCCATGTATTACAACCAGACTTTTTCCCAGCTTCTCCGTCTGTACTGCACAGCATCCTGGGATATGTATTGCACCAGTGTATCATTCAAACCTTCCCCATAATTATAAATTGTTTCTCCTGACTGTATGGCTATGGTTTCAGACCCATCAAGGCTTCAGCACAGACCGGTTCTCCAGCCCTGTGTTGGACCCTCATCCGCAGACCTGAGACAGTGATGGATGATCACGTTCAGTGACTGTTCAGCTCACCCTGCCTGTAGTTTAACTCCAGCAGATGGTGACAGACTGCTTTAATGGAGGTTTCAGTGCAGACATGCTTTAAAATCCCGCATGTCATTTCAGACTTCTTCAGGCTTCAGAGAAGCTGAGATCTGACACATACATGGAAGAACAATGAACACCCCCACATCCTTCAGATTTTACTAATACAAGTGCCTTTATTCTTCCACTAGGTTCACGTTGAACATCTCTGTTCAATCAGTTGCTTCTCCTTAAATTCTGCTCCCAACATAGGCATTGCAACAATTATATGTGAAGGGTAAATGTCCCCCTCACATTTAAAAAATATTCATTCACAGGCCCCCACATGTGCCATGAAGAATTAGTTTACCCAGCGCTGCTTCAATTTCTTCATGAATGAACTTATTCCACTTGATTATAAGGAGAATACTCAAACCACTAAAAATCCACTCCAGGTTTCCCTGGTTACCTACAACAATTCTCAACACTGCATGCAGTGTTTCCCAGAGGTCATCTGCCTTAGCAGGATGCTCACAGGGGGGAGACACGTGTGTTGTGCGCTTGCTTAGCGCTACGTTAGTGCAGGCAACGCAGTTGTTGACGGGGGTACGGGGTGAGGTTAGCATGCATGAGAAGCTCAACTGTAACTATCGTGCACATCACTGCACCATGTATTCATCAGTCAACTGGTCGTCATTACCGTGGCGGCTGTGGCTGAGTGGTTAGAGTAGTCGTCCTCCAATGCAAGAGTTGGGGGTTCAAATCCACCAGCAGTCACATGCCAAAGTGTCCCTGGGGAAGACACTGAACCCCTCATTGCCACCGATGTGTGTCCCATCGATGTAAAAATGTGATCTCAAAGCACTGATTAGTCTCTTTAGAATTTATTCAATTAGCTTTGTATAGATCTAGTAGAGTGATGTATGAATGGGTAGATGAGGACACAGATTGTTGTGTACAGCACTTTGAGTATCTTGATTAGATAGAAAGGTGCTATATAAGTACAGTCCATTTACCATTTACCCTCACATAGGCCTGTCACGATAACAAATTTTGCTGGGCATGAATTGTCTCAGAAATTATTGCGATAAATGATAATTTTGTTTGAAATTTGGCAATAGTTAGTAATTATTGTCAAATTTAAGAAGAAATGTTGGTTAATTTTATGTTGAGCATAGTACCTTTTTTGACCACTGGATGGCAGTATAAGAATGTTTGAACCGAAGTATGGATAGTGATGGAGCGAGCAGAGTGTTTCTCTTTAAGTAAAATGGAAGGGAGGCCCCTTGACGTGACATGGGCTGTCTCTCCTTGCTTTTTTCGGTTCTCAAAATGGCGGCCGCTTGGTGTAGTTTGAGCTCTTCAGCATAGCATTTTTCACACAAAGCTTTTAATTTAAAAAAATCAGTAAACAAGTTCTCAGTTTCTTTTTACAGAGAAAAACTAACTTTTTACACAAAGGCACGGGCTTCAACCATGAATTTAGGAGTTTCAACAAGACGGAAGTTTTTTCCCGAGGTCGGCCTGTTAGCTTAGCTCGTAGCTTAACTTCTCAGCTTAGCTGCTTTTAACGATCCAAAAACAAGATTTTGGATGGTTAAAATGGATTTTAACGAGAAAAGAGAAAGGGAGGGGTCAGTGAAGAGCACCGGAGTTGAGCCTTATCATCCAGTGTCTTCAGTAGAAAGAGAGACACGAAGAAACGATAAAGCCGATAAATGAAAACGAGGTCGATCATTTTCATTTATCAAGTGATTAATTGATTTATTGTTTATTGCGACAGGCCTATCCTCACGCAGACTTTATCACTGGTACATTTTCATCTTTAAATCACTTCTTGGTCTGATGCCTTCATATATCTCCTCATACATGTCACTCCGTTAGTGCAGCTACAGTGTGCGTTCTCAGGGCATCATTGTTCCCTCAATGCGGACTGAACTTGGCAAAAGGGCCTTCTCCTACTCCACTCCTGTTTCCTGGAACACCTTGCAAAAATATCTGAAGCTCTCGACCTTGACCTCACTAAGTTTCTTCAAACATCTGCTAAGTTCATGGCAAAAACCAACGCAGACATGTTCCTGTTTTTAGTATTTTACATCGCTTTATAATGTAGCTGTTTTTGTTTAGTTTTCATTTCATTTATTCTATTTACTTTTTCACTTTATATGCTTTTTATATGATTGTCAATTGTTGTCTGTACCTCATCTGTGTTCTTTGTTTAAAACAGGTCTCCCTTGTAAATCAGTCCTCGTGGCTCAATGAGACTAACCTGTATGAATGAAAAAGCGGAGCACAAAATATATATGTATATGTGGAGCACTACGTCTGTAGCATCTTAGCTAGCACATCTGTATTGCGTGCCGCTAGTTTAGCGCTACGTTACTTCTGGTAGTTTTGAGGTTAGGATGCGTAAGAGAAGTGGAACGTGCTCTATTCACACAAGGAGAGTTGTTGGTCAGGCTACATGTTGCTCTCTAAAATAGTTATTGACTCCAGTGTTTACTTATGTAGGTAAAACTAGATGTTTAACAACCTGTTAAAATATACCAGAATGCAGGAAATGGCATCTGCTGTATTCAAAAATTTCTGGGGGAGGACCCCCAGACCCCTCTGACCCCCACTACACACACACCAGTGTGTCACCCCCACATTACAAATGTGTCTGATGCCAGTGGCTCTGAAGGTTCCACCAGCAGCCAGAAAAGAACTCAGCTTAATCCATTTGTGCCAGTTAAGTTAAAGTCCATTTTCCATCATAAAACCAGGACTGTAATGAGTTAGTTCCATGACTTTCCCATCACAAGCCCATCTTCTAACCTCTGCGCCACCACTCCCCCATTATATATTTACAGGATGACAAATAGAGGACATCCTCCTGCATCCTGACCCAACTGTGAGCTATGCAGCTGTCTGCAGGGACACCAAACCTCCACTGGTCTTCATGTGTCACATCCAGTGCACGTCTCATCTAAAGGAAATCAGGAAATTAGAAACTCCTCTCACTGTTCAGATCAGAACAGAAAACATTCCATTGGATTTTCTTTTCTACAGATACAAGTGTATGTGAAAAATAAATTAAGAAAACCTAAGATGGGTGACAGTGCTCAGGATCAGTAACACCGCCCCCCCCCCCCCCCGCAGGACCATGATTAGCCAGCAGAGGGCTGATTGGTGGAGCAGAGGTCTCCTATCCGGTCCTTGCACCTGCCAAACAGCATCACATCACATGAGTCCTGTCTACATCAGCTTCTAGCTGCGTCAGTGGGAGGAAATAGGTATAATCTAATAATAGCTAATACCTTTGTCAGAGCCCCCCATGGTACATTAGTTTATTTAACAAAACAAAAATACTTGGAAGCTCTTAAATCCAGAAAACATCAGGATTTATTCCCAAATAAAGAGTTCCAAACAACGAGTCAGACTTACCTTCTGTAGGCTGGTTGGGTTCAACTGCGTTTTGTCAATGATTTTTATTGCAACCTGAAGAAACATGAAGAACATTTTGATAAGGAAATGTGAAGTAATGATGTTCTAATATTATCCTCTGAAACAAACACAAAAGATAAAACTCTGAATAATAAACTCTCTTGTTCTTCTTTCAGCCGCTCCCTTATGAAAACTTGGCGATTGTTTTTACGCCCTTCCTGACACAAGCACAGACACCGAGCGACCACAGCCTCTGTGTGGAGCAGAGAGCTTCATCTAGGGCGCCCAGGGGAGCAGATGGTGGGGCAATTGAGGGTGGAGGCAGGTGTGGGTGCTTCACCTTTCCCACCCATATTTTGATGTTGTCAGTCCAGGGAATTGAACCGGCGACCTTCCAATCACAGGCTCACCTTCTCTAACCTTGGCACCACCACCCCCCCCCCCCCTGCATAATAAACTAGTGCTGGTCAGTAACTCTGAAAGAAAAGTGTGTTTCTGCCGTTTGGGATCATTATCTTGTTGCATCATGACCCAGTTTGGTTCAAGCTTCAGCTGTTGGACGGATCGTCTCACGTTGGACTCCAGGATCTTTTGCTCTACAGAGGTGCCCAAACACTCAACCCTCCACCACTGTGCTAACAGTTGGTATAAGGTGTTGATATCTGTTTGCTGCTGTGCATTATGGGTAAACACCTGTCCACTGATCCTATAATTCCTGAAGTTTTGTGGTTCCTTCAGATAAAATGTGACAAACCTAAATTGCACTGCCATGTTGTTTTTAGACAGAAGAGGTTTTCTCCTCAACCTGTCCAGGTCATGACCTCTAACCTTTAACCTGCTGAGGCCTGCAGAGTAAATGGAGTTCTTTGGTTTTGGCAAAGCCCTAAATAAACACTGTCCTTGTTTAACATGATGTCACATCTGTGGTTGTATTTGCATTACTATAACATTTACACTATCACCATTTTTCTTCAACTGACAGTGTGAAGTCTCTCTGACGGTCGGCTGTGGGATCTGACACCAGCAGGTTTGTTTTAAAGTCCACGCTCAATAAACACTTGATTTTAGTCTGACTGAGATCCAGTTGATTCATTTCACAGGCAGACTGTCATGGTGATCACTTGTTTGGGACTGAAACTCACTGATGTGTTCACTGATCCCACTGTGACCTTTGACCTGGAAGTACCCAAGGCAAAGGTTACAGGAAGAAAAATAAAAAGTTTATAGCAAAAACATATTAAAATATGGTAGAATTTGGAAACCTACAGCCCTCACTGTTTCAGTTGATGACACCTAATTTAGAATGGAACATTTTATGAGACTAACTGAACTCCTGTAGGTTTATATTTCTGCTAAATATAAATACATGCAAGAAGGTTCTCAATCTGGACAACCTGCTGTTGTGTGGAACAAATGAGCTGTAAGTGGATAAACAGGGGTTAATTCATGTTTTAATACAGTATTATTTTATTAACCACTACAACTTAGGATTAATAAACGTACAGTAATGATGGTAAATTATCTTCTGTAGTGTCTAGCAAGATAATGATAAAACACTTGAAATAGAAAAAACTTCCACACAGGAGACGAGACAATTTTATGAGAAACAAAAAATACAAAGTCAAGCAAATGAAACGATTAGGAAAATAAACGGGGGGTAGCAATTCACACAGGTTTCATGTGTTTTTAGAAATTTATGAAATATAAAAATATGCAGAAAAAAATAACTATGAAAAATTAAACAACTTTTTCAAAATGTAAAAAAAACCTTACAGAACAGAAAGTTGCAGCTAAACCATGTGGGAAAAACATCTTATTGTGTCCCCACCCCATCACCCCACCACCCTCCACCCGTCTCACCTCCCTGCCGGTCAGGATGTGGCGGGCCAACTTGACTTTAGCAAAGTTTCCCTTTCCAATGGTCTTGAGCAGACGGTAGTTGCCGATGTGTGGCTGCTCGTCGGAGCAGGAGGCGATGGAGTTCCTGCAGCGGGCCCCCAGAGAGCGGCTGGACTGGCTCGTGGCCTTGTCTGAACGGCTTGCCCCTAGCAACACATGCTGACAGAAAACAAAACGGGGAGGGTTTTAGAGAAAAGTGTGTGTGGGAGAATTCTCAGAATACCAACAATGCCAACATCCCACCCTGAAGCAGCAGAAAGCTAGAACAACATGATGATCTGACACCCCCCCCCCCCCCCCCCAAAAAAAACACACACACACCCAAACAAAACTCGTTGACAAACTCAACTTGAACTGAGAGCTTTTCTACAAGCTGTCGCAGTTTCATTTTGGCCCCTTTTATTATAAAGTTCATATTTACGAACAGTTTTCTAAGTTCATATTTTAAGAGTTCCCAGTTTTTACTAAATGTCTTCTGACTCCAAACTCTATTCCAATACTTGATTATTGTTCAATGTTTTCTTCCACTGCTTTATTTTCTAAAAGAGAAGTGTTGAGTTTCCAGTCAACTGTAGTTTTATTTTTTTGCACTGATTTGATGTAGATTTTTAAATTATGAGAGATGGACGTCTCCTGGTAGGATGACGCATCTTCCTGCTGATGATGAAACAACAAGCGCCAACTGAGTTTTCTTAGACATCATTTAGTTCACAAGTCTGAGATAAAGTTTACCTAAATGTTAACGTTACAGCTGAAACCTTAGTCCAAATTGAATACCTCTTCTCAAAGTCTATTATTTACATCATTCACTTTCTGAAACACTATCGGTTATTCATCCATATTTCACATTTGCCATCATTTTCACATTGTCATTATTCAAAACTAAAAATAAACGTCACAGAATTGTGTATTTAAATGACCAGATTCTTTGTCTTTTCTTCGAGTGAGGGGGATTAAATTTGTTACAAGGACTCACGTTTATATAATTTTTATGGTTGAGGCCGGTCAACAGTTAGTACATAACTTGGAATGAGTATAAACCCTGCTAAAGGTGTTCAGACCAGCCTTTCCCTACAGCAGAAAGAAGCTGAAAGTAGCAGGAATTAGCACAAGAACCTTAAACAGCTGAAATTAGCTGAAAATGCTAAAAATGGAGCTGATAAGAATCAGAATAAGCTTCATTAAAAGGTAAAACAAGCTTAAATTAGAAGAAAGAACCCATTTTGCTCCATTAGGCTGAAAGAAGCAGAAATGAGCACAAAAAGGTGGAAATTACCTGAAAAAAAGCTGAAATTAGCAACAACGAAAAACCAGCTGAAAAGTAGCTAAATAAGCAAGGCTTAAATTAGATGAAGGAAATGGAGAGAGCACATTTTTGCTGAATTAGGCTGAAAAAAGTTTAAATGAGTGCAAAAAATGTGGAATTGGTTGAAAAAGCTAAAATTAGCATAAAAACAGCTAAATAGAAGCTAAAATAACTGAAACTTGCTGCACATCTTGCAGCTTCACAAGCTGAAACTAGCAGAAAAAATTTAGAAGCACAAAAATGTTGTAGTTGGCAGAAAGAATCTAAATGGGTCACAAAACAGCTGAAAATGCTGAAAGTAGCTGAAAAAAGTTTACATTTGCACAAGGAAGCTGAAGCAGAACAAAATGTGAAAGGTTGTAAACAGATCTAAAGAAGGATGTCAAATGAGCTCAACTCATTATCTATGAGAAAAAAATGGCAGAAAAGGCTAAATGTTTCAAAAAGCTAAAGTTGCACAAATACCAAAAGTAATAGCACCCTTCTCCTGAACGTATTAATGTACGACTTGTTGAGATGGCACAGAAACTGTGGAACAAGAACGATGCGGAAAACGTTCAGAAGAAAACAGGACCACAAGAGTTCACACCGTCAGGGCCATGAATTCCATGTTCAACCATTACGGTTGCAGCTAGAGATTATTTTACCAGTCGGCTAGCCCGACATTATTTTTTCTTCAACTATGAATTCTTTAGCTGAACCGTGGGTGCAGTTCACCTGCTTGAATCTGCACACCTGTGAAGATCACCCGGATGATTCATGGCAAATTACAGCAAATCTGAAATGTATCATTTTACCTGATGTGACTGTCACAATAAAGAAATACTTAAGAAATTACTTAAGAATTTAAATTAAAGTTTGATTTTTATTAATTCATTTAATTAATTAAATTCTCCTATGAGACCTCATTTAAATTGATAGAATGTTTCTGTGCAAATAGAATATACAAATGAGGCAACACAATGAATTTAGTTTTGAAACGTCCTTAAAGCTGCATGTCTCCAGCCCAGGAGGAGTTCTGTGTGAAACGTTTTGTTTTCAGCTCTCAGATCTTTGAACATCTCTACTTTCAGTTTCAGCCTTCTGCTGCTCTGCTGCTCTTTTTCTCACGTTCTTCTCTGGAAGAAAACTGAGTGCAGTCTCCGGCAGCAGAGATGATACATTACATACCATACATTGCATAACATTTAAGACTAGGCTCAAGAATTTCCTTTTTGATAAATCCTATAGTTAGGGTCGGCTTGGGTTTCCTAAGCTGTCCCTTAGTTCTGCTGCTGTAGGCTTAGACTGCTGGAGGACAAACTGACCACACTTTTCACTCTGCTACTGTCTTTACTTACTCTGCTCAACCTGTTTTATATTTGTAATTATTTTTTCTATCTTTAACATGTGTTTGTCTTTCAGGGACACCTGGACCTATAGCTGGACCTATACATGGACCTGGACGTATACCTGGACCTACCATTCTGTGTTCGTCTGTCTCTCCTTCCTGTCCTCTCAACCGGTCAAAGCAGATGGTCTCTTGTCCTGAGCTGGTTCTGCTGGAGGTTTCTTCCTGTTAAAGGGAGTTTTTCTTCCCACTGTCTCTACTGTGCTTGCTCAGGATAAAGTGAAGATTCAACTTGTCTGCTGCTTCTTTAGATGGAGAACTTTACTAATAGTCTTTTATGTGAATGTTCCTGTAAAGTGCACGGAGACAACTTTGTTGTGACTTGGTGCTTTATAAATAAACTGAATTGGATTGAATACTGCCCTCAGATGTTCCAGTCGTGTAACGCAGTTACAAAAAACATTTTACACTGTGGGACATTATGGGACAGTGGCACGGTGACTCAGCTAGTATAGTTGTTGCCTCTCAGCGAGAAGGTCGCCAGATTGAATCCCAGCCAGGGACCTTTCTGGGTGGAGTTCTCTCTGTGCATGTGTGGGGTTTCCTCCCCCAGAGGGAGGTTGATTGGTAACTCTAAATTGTGCCTAGGTGAGAGCTAGAGTGAATGCTTGTTAGGCCGCTGTGGCTGAGCGGTTAGAGCAGTCGTCCTCCAATGCAAGAGTTGGGGGTTTGAATCTACCAGCAGTCACATGCCCAAGTGTCCTTGGACAAGACACTGAACCCCTCATAGCCTCTGATGAGTGTGCCATCAGTGTATGAATGTGATAAAGCTCTGATTAGTCTCTTTAGAATGATTTGTTCAATTAGCTTTGTAGGGATCTAGTATAGAGCTGTATGAATGGGTAAATGAGGACAGATTGTTGTAAAGAGCTTTGAGTATCTTGATCAGATATAAAGGAGCTATAAGTACAGTCCATTTACCATTTGTCTCTATGTGTCCCTGTGATGGACTGGAGACCTGTCCAGGTGTCCCTGTGATGGATGAGAGGCCTGGCTCCATCTCTCACACAGTGACAACTGGAGATAGGTACTAGCTTCACTACAATGTGAAAAGCAGAGGTTAATTTGAGCAGGATCCTGCCGGAACAAGATCCAGGAACTCTCTCATTTTGACCCGTCCTGTTCCGGCAACTCTTTGTTCAGATCCGGCAGCTCCACCTCTAAAAGTCCAAAGTCATTGCGCATTTTTATTTTGATTATTTATTAAAAAATACAAAGAGTGGAGACGTTGCCCTCAGCCCGGCGGGCCCAGTCTGTGGAGTGGATGTTCCAACCGCAGCACACCAGCTACACGCTCCCTCAAGGAGCAGGAGAGAAGGGACAGTCACATTTACGCACGGAGGTTCTGTGCGAAGTCCTTCTCTCCTCTACAAATATTGTCCTTACTCAGCGGCTGTGCACTGAAAACACCCCCTCTCCTCCTCTCAAACCTCGAAACAGAAACAATCATTTATTCAACAGAATAAATAAATGCCCTGTGGACGGTGCACGTTACGCACAGAAACGTACCAGACAGCTCTACACAGCACGCGCAGAACGTCAGCAGGTGTCTGAACTCCTGCTACATTTCAGACATAATAAATAAAAAAGCTCACTGTAAAAATAAATCCATACAAAGAGAAATGTTTGATGTGTTTTCTCATTATGTTTCAAATCAACGATGCTAATTTGTCAAAATAACAACAGCGATCAAAATGTCAAAAAGACAGTCCAATTTACTTTAATGAAAAATGGATGGATGGATGGTCCTTAGTTGAACAACAGAGAACTGAAGCCTTCAGGTGCTTCAAACGGTGCCACGAGACTGGAGCAAGAGGACTGAATTCAGCCGAGAAGAGTTCGGCTCCGAACTGCAAAGTGAGGGGAGGGAGCGGGGTTAGGACACCTGACACAATCAGAGGTGCTCTATTCACACACAACCTGCTGTTCCTCTTCAAAACAGAACTTTTATTAAGAGTTTACAAATGTAGGTAAATGCTGATGTATAACAACCCGTTAAAATACACCAAATGCAGGAAATGGCATCTGTTGTTCAAAATTTTCTGTGAAAGGACCCATGGACCCCCCCACCCCTCAGCATCAATCAGTTTACAAATTAAGCCCTGATGAAAAGTATAAATGGGTAAAAGGATGGATGGCTCAGATTCAGAAGAAATGTGTGGAATGACTGAATGGACCTGCTGTGGTCTCTGTACATGTCCAACACTGAACACACACAGCATCTGTGTCAACAAACCAAGTGGAACAGCTGAGGGTCTGCAAGGCAGACTGGTGGCAGTGGAAAGCTTCAAGTTTGTCAGACTGCTGCACCGACTTCCAGATGTTGGAATACGCTGCAAACCGCCGGTGGATGAGTGTGGTCGGGAGCTGTGGAGGTTACATGTTGCTGCAGTCCTTCCACCAGATGTTCCTCTCAAAAAACAAAACAAGTGCGTGTGAACTCGTATGAACACAGCTGCT